TTTCACAAAAAATAATATTAGTCAGTCTAAACACCTTAAAATGTACGTTTTATCAAATAAGTTCAGTAGTTTTTCTGTAAAATTGAATTAAACATACAACCTTTGGACAACGTCTAGCTGCCCATGCACACGGTTGATAATGACGATATATTCTTACCTTCTTCCTTATTCTTCTTCTTTCTTCTTCTTACCTTAAATAAACACATATCACAAGATAAAATAAAAAAGCTCTCTAGAAAATAAAACATAGTAAGCGTTAATGATTACGGAGCATTTCTGACAAGTATAACAAATATTGAATACAGCTTACCTAATACAGATTGAAGAGGTCGTCGGGTCAGTGAATCTAAATATCGCATAAATTCAATCGTCGTAATGCAATTACTTCGTTATCGACGCTAATTGGCTTGAACGCGGATCTTTTTATGTGAATTTCAATGAAATTGCTCATTTCAAACCCTTGCAGCTCTGTGTAAAATTATTTGTATCGATTTATATAAAACACTTTAACGGTTGAAAACGCGATATATTAGTTAAACTTATTGCTGATGCTTTGACGCAGTCGTGGTCACGGGGTATTTTATTTGCGTTTTCCAGAGCATACTATGTAGTTAATGAAATACCGCCTATAGTTTATGTGAGTAGTACATTTAAGTAAAACACTTTTAACAGTTTAAAACGCGAAATGTATTAGTTCTACTGATTTAAATTATATTTTAATTACGTTCCGACGTTACGGGTGCTTTCAAATTTTATTACAAACTACTACTTTGCTACTTTGCATAAACTTCAGACAGTACTCAATAACGACATATTAGAGTTGTTATGTGTCGTTTGTGAACATCGTTACGAAGGAGCGAAGCAAACTGTGTTTATTCATAAACTATGCAACAATATTTGCGGTACAAACGTCGCTACTGATTGTGAAACGGTTTTTACAGAACCGGTTATATTAACTTTATTTAAACTATCCATGTCTTATACATATTAAAATTCAAATAATTTATTCCACACTGCCATTGCGACATTACTTAAATATATAAAAACTGTTTAATTATTTTGCCATATGTTTTTATATGATAACAGATTTAAATGACATAAAAAGTACTTTTAAGAACAATTTCGACTGTTTGAAACATGTCGTGCAGTCGCTATTTCGAGCATTTTGATAAACAACTTTAGATTATCATAAATTAAAAATATCTGTGTTATTACAGAAACTTCAATTCGTGTTTAAAATCGGTTTTAAACCGGTCATTCGTTCAACATTCGTTGATCAAGTCTCCATCTGGCTAATTTACAGGTCTGTCAATTCGTCGATTTCAATATGAATCAATTGGGTGTCATTGTTTCGTTGTACCGGATTGCATTGGTATCGGCCGATCGTCACCCGATATTTTTATAGAAGCACTAGCTGTGTCAGCGACTTCGGCCGCGTAGAATAGTTATTTTGGACATCAAAATTTGTTATTGCAAACCTCTTAAATTAATTCATTCATTCTTTCATACATAATATTATTTGGGTATCAATTCCCCCCCCCCCCCCCTTTTCTCCATATTTTTCGTTGTTTCTTACCTACCTACTTCGATAAATGCTCTTACTAACATAAAAATAATTTTTCAATTCGAACCGGTAGTTCCTGAGATTAGGGCGTTCAAACAAACAAACTTACTCTTCAACTTTATATATTAGTATAGATGAATTGGACACGTTTATGCAATATTGTCAAATTCACGTGTCTATTTTAAGTAAACCAGATTACTAATATATATTTAAATACTTTATTACCTCTATTATGACATAAATGTTTAAAGGCCAAAGTTGTTTGTTTTATTTATAGGTATTCTTAATGAACTGGGCAAACGTAAAAGCCAGCCAACCATACAATACTAGCTGTGCCCGCGACTTCGCCGTGTGGAATAGTTATTTTGGGCATTAAAAACAGTTTTATTCACAATTAAATACTCTTTATTAACAGAAAATTTATTTGGATAATGATTCATATTTTTATGTTGTTGTTGTTGATACAACTCTAAAACTCAATAAACGGTTTTTGGCAATTAATCTTTAATGATCGACATACACTGTCGCAGACATTTGTTTAGATTATTTAAAGAGGATTTTTTTTTGGTTTGTACCGCTTTTGAATTTCCAGTGCACGCAACGGAAGCCCTAAAAGACCTATAATTTATCCTACTATATCTATTTCTACCCTAATATATCTATTTCGTCGCACTTATTGGCCGCAGCTTGATGTTATATAGCCTAAATACTTTCTTGATAAATGGTATATCCAACAAAACGATTTTTAATTTCGAACCAGTCCTTCCTGAGATTTGCGCGTTCAAACAAACAAACTCTTCAGCTTATTATATTAATATAGATATACGATTTCATTCATTTTTTATAAACGCTTTAAAGAATAACTTATTTTATATGTGTTTGCAATTAGAAGAGCGTGGTGGGTCTAAGAGGATCAATCCTTCCTATGTAATGTGACACCGTTGTCCAGCTGTGGGACCTAACTCAATTGCCATTATTCAAATCATGACTTCTATAAATTAATATTCATACTATGACTTGCTAATAAGTAATACTTATTCATTCATATAGAAGTTCATTTGTCACGAGCCATGCATTATAAAATAATTCCATAGGTTACTTCGTAGGAGCTAGTAATAAAAAATGTGCGCACATTAATTTTGCCAAGCGACGAATATAAGTCTTGAGAGAGAATCTATATTATTAGTGTCATAATAGAAGAAATTTAATTCTTACAAATGAAAAATCAAACCGTTTATATTTAATATAAAACTTAGCTTGACATATTGTTTAATGTATATTTTATAATGAGTCACTTTGTATAAGTTGAAGTTGCCAGGTTGATTGTCTTTTATGTAGTTTGCGTGAGTAGTACGCATTTACAACAAAATTTAACGGGTTTAAAACGCGATATATATATATATATCAAAATATTTCTAATTACTAGTATTATAAGAGGAACCTGTGACCAAAATTGCTAAAAAGCATTCCAAAAGTCGGGCCGCAGTTAAAATAAATTGAAAATAAGTTAACTAAAAACTTTGCAAGTAAAGAAAGAAAAGTGTTATAATCTTAAGACTGGGACTGTCTTTACTATTGGGTTCGATCTTTAGTTTGTTTTGCAAAATATATTTATAGTATTTAAAATCACCCCCATGAAACTGTTAAAAAAAGTTTTGTTTTTATTAATAGACAATAACAGCTATTCGACATCAAAACATAAGTAAACAGCACATCGTAATTGCAGGCTTTTCATCCTTTTTACACATCACCAAGTCCACTTGCCGGCTATAAATTAGATATATAAAATTCATTCAAAGCTCAATTTTCTTCAAATAGTATCTCGTTTTTACATTTTAAAGTCGCGTACACACTAGCGAGTGGTAGTTGTAATCTGTGGGACTATTCTTTACCCAAGAGGAGGAGAGGAGGAGGAGAATAATTCTCACATATGTCGGTCCCCAGAGCCGTTACCTACTCATCTAGACGGTTTCAGTGTAAAAAATGTATACCGTGCTTACTGTCACACAAGATCGTGTTACGATTATGACTCGCTAGTGAGTACCCGGCTTTAAAATAAATAGATTTCCCGTCATTAAAACTCCGTGAGCTTGTGTATTTAAATAGAAGTTATGGCGAACCATTTCTATACCGCGGAGTGCATTTTAGTTGATGACGTCGCATTTTACAGTTTCAACTGAAAACGACCTGGGTCGACCACGACATTTGTACATTAGTTTGAAGCATTCATTGATTAAGACTGATTTTAAAGACAAACCATAATTATTAATATAATTATGTGTCTGTTTAAATGGTGATTAGTAATATTTTTAACATGTTAATAGACGTATAATGTACTAGCTTTGTCAGCGACTTTGTCCGAGTAGAATAGTTATTTTGGCATTCAAATTTGTTTTTGTCTTTCTGAATTTAGGCTGTCACCCACGACGTCTGCCACGTGCTGTTGTTCTTAAATGTGAGACATATAGTCTCGCGGCCATTTTTCTAGATCATTTAAAGAGGAATCATTCTTTTATGCATATTTTTTGCGTATTTTGACCTACCATTTTCGTAGCGTACGCATCGGAGACCCAAAAAGTTGAATAATTTTCCCCATTTGTTTCCACATTTTCCGATGTTTCTTCACTCCTATTAGTCCTATAGCCTTCCTCGATAAATGCTCTAACTTACACAAACATATTTTTTCAATTCGAACCGGTAGTTCCTGAGATTAGAGCGTTTAAACAAACGAACTCTTCAGCTTTATAAATTAGAATAAATATGAATGACATAAGCGGAAATCAATCTCGAAGAGATAGGGTTCCGTTGTGTCTGGAATTGAAAGTATCAAATATTTAACGGTCACTCGGGTGTGTGGTACTATCAGAACTAGAAAATACCTAACCTTTCATTCTAGAAACTGCGCTTGCGTTGCTATTTCGAAGATTAGGTTATATAAACAATGATATTGTATAGAAGTTAGCGTTCATTATTTATTATAAACATTACACGTACAATAATGTAGGTCATAACTTCTCATCTTAGTAAAATATTAAATTGATTTTGGAAGCTTTGGTGTCGTAACGCGCTACATAACGAAGCTTACTTTCATATAAGAAGTTGTCATAAAGGATACGATATTAATGTTTATTGTAACTGTACCATAATACTTAGTGCAGTAGACAAATGCTTAAACGCTTGTCGTTTAGCCCTAAGTTCGAACCCGGGGAAAAATTCATTGTTTCGGTTGGATAGAATAATAAATAACTGAAGTCTGATTAATGTCGAATCGCGTCACGTAGCGAAGTAGTTCAGTTTCCTATACGAATAAATTTGATCACTTAATAATATGCTTATTTAACTGTATATGATGTTTTCACCTTACGTTAAAGATGAACAAGTGATTCGTATTGCATTAGTGTTCGTGCGAAACTAAGTGAATCGAGTGCCAGTGAAAATGTCTGAACGTTTCAAAGTGACGAAACACGACGAACCCTCGGGGAAGAACTATAAAAACTACGGCGCGACGTCAGCTGAAAATGACGTCGAGCTTAAGGGGAAGCTGCTTCCTGATTCAGGTAAGTTTAAGTGCTTAAGGCGACATCCTTGTTACAGTTACATAGTGAGAACTAACAAAAATTGTTTGTGCACGATATTTTTTTCTTTTATTTCCATAATGGTTTCTTATAGCAAGACATTAATGTCTTATATGTTTAAAAATATATATCTTAATGTACCTTGGTAGGAAAAGCTGTTCCTTATATGTATGTATGTCGCTCGTAAAACATTATGAAGATTAATTTTGTTCTGTTCTTCGATTTTAACCTCACCGCGAAACTATTAAACTTCTCACTGCCGTTTTGTTTAATCTCTGATAAAATGAATTCTCGTCAGAAGAGTTGGCTAGTTATAAAACTTATCGGTAAAGTACGCACCCACAACTTCGCTATGAACTGCTGTCTAGATTTTTTATAAAACTCTCTTGGGTTTGAAAAGGTGAATATTCATGTTATTTATTATACATACTATGTAATACAGATTGATATTAGTTTGGATGAGTTATGTATACATAACTCTTAAAATTAGGTAAAAATTTTAACATTTTAAATACTGTCTGTAGTTTACGCGAGTAGTACCTACACATTTAAATAACTACGGCCCGACATTGTGTGTTCCCGTGACCACGGCTGGTGCAAAGCATACGAAACGTCGGGCCGTAGTTAAAAATAATTTTCAAATAAGTTTAACTAATATATCGCGTTTTAAACCGTTAAAGTGTTTAATTTAAATTTGATAATTTATTTTAAAAAAGCAATATAAATATATTATAATCGATGTATAATGCTTTTTATTACTTTTCTTTTTTAAAATCATCAATTTCTAATCTAATTTATAAGCATCAGGACAAGTAAATACACACTATGCTATGCCAAGCTAGCATATTTGTAAGTGCCACTCAACTGTCAAAGAATCCAGAAGATCGATAGTACGGCAGTGTCAGTTACAGGAATAAAAACTACAGTTACTGTAAGACACTACGAATAAAGAGTAAAAAACTTAAAACGTTAAAAAATCAATATTAATGTTAAAAATGCAATTCAGTTGTCGCATGTTGGTTTTTCATGTCCAAAATAGACAGCTTTACTTAATCTTTGGCATTCAGTTCGTTAAGATGACTATCATATCATGTAGTTTAATATGGTCCTGAATAAAAAAAAACAAAGCATTCTTTGGGTATATTTTATCACATATTACTACTATTACTTACAATATACGCGAGCGGAACTATGGTACTTAGTTTCCACTTATTCATCATTAAAATTTCAGTATCAACACCTAACTGGTGTTTCATCAAAGCATTAACTGGAAAGCAGCAAACACCCATGTCTTTGTTAGTTTAACAACAGCATATAAGACTGTCGGTTAGAAATTTGAGTAGCGTTTGTGACAAGGATTTGTTCAACCAACATAATTCTTCATATCACTGTGTTTCGGGTTGTTCGGCCGACGTGAGCGAGAAGAGCTTCTCGACGTTTCGCCATCACGTGTGAACGGAATCATCAGGAGATGTTAACTCCTCGATTGCTCGAAGAATTTAATTTAATTCTTGATATGATATGCTGAACGATGGCCGTGAAAGCCTTACAGAATTTATTCAACATAATTCTTTCATATACCAAAGCAATTTAAAACATATCGGGAAATGATAGATTTTTTCGGTCGTGCAGACCACAGAAGTCTGATCAACTACTGTTTGTGCAACCGATCAATGAAACGATCACAGAAATGTGCTCGCCCTTCCTCACCGTGGGGCATGGGGGTTTACATACAGCTATGTATAAGCTCTGTTCTAATTCTTAACTATGTTACAATACTATAATATTGTTATGGGATTAATTTTCAACAAAAATAAACATATCTATTAAAGATTGTTTACCAATCCAACCCAGCTGTGGTGTGTATAATATATTTCATCGATGGAAAGGATGTATCTAATCTGCTACGCTAACGCCATCTGTTTCATCCTAGCGGTACTCCAATACCCATCTAGTCCTTACAGACCTGATGACGGTGTCCTCTTTGCACTGTGCTAAACCTTAAGCACTAAACTATACACAAAACTTGTAGAAATATGACCATAGTTTACGCGTTGTTAGGAATGGAATCGTATCTACGATCCGTTGATTGTTAGCCATACTTTACTACCGTTGAACCACCGGGCTAAAGAAAGACGGGAATCTTCGTCCATACAAAGCGAAGTGTATACACTAGTCTTGAGTCTACAAATAGTAACAATTTCCCTCAGCTTAGTTATAGAATACGCTGTGTTTAGTATTGGCAAACATTCAGTGGATTTATTGACAAACCTCCCGGTTCAAGCATTTCGTTTATTACAGAAAACCGATATTTGTATAGAAATGTTTATTAAGATTAAGTAAAGTCTACGTAATGTGACGTCAACTGCTATATTAATTAATGCTTCTCTTAGTCTACCATTACTCTAACATTTTTAAGTTATACATCCTAAAGTTACGGAGATTTGCCAGCAGCGGTGGCCATGTAGTACTATTCAAAGTCTAGAACATAAGTTACGTCTGATAAGTTAGTTTAGTTACTTTGAATAATAGTTATATTTTATTCAAAGCTCTATTAAGTTTTAGAAAGAAATAATATTTACTACCATAAGCCACAGACTTACAACTAAATTATAATAATTGTATAAAATAAAAATTACCCTAACTTAATTTTAATAACGTAAAAATGTTGTGTGCTGCCCGTAGTGAATCTTACTCACCTTATATCAAATTATATTTACACCTAAAACAAAAATAGTGAACATTACAGAAAAAAGACAAGACAAGATGCAAATTTTGTGCCATTCTCGCATTTTATACGTTCCAAGCATGATTATAGAATTACTAGATCTATAGTATATAATACTTATTTGAAATCGTAAAATCAGTAATTATGATAATTTATTTAGATGTTAAGTGCATATAGTCATAACATTTTATAGTGTTATTTATATCTTTGTAATGAATATAAACCTAGAACTTATTGGTATTAGAATATAACGAGATATACCGAAAAAGACGGTTTCTGATGGTTTGCAGCAGTCGTGGTCACGGGGGGACTGAGGATGCTGCTGCTGGAGAAAACTGCTATGCTAGTGCCATCTGTTCCGTAATAGTATGTTTTTGGCGAAACTTGGCTGGGACAGTACTTGGTAATTTGAAGCTAATTATAGCATAAGTTCGATTCAGCCGTTCGGTGTCCACTAATAGCATAAATTATTTGTACTTAAATAGCTGTGCCCGCGAGTCACTAGACTTGGGGTAGAATTTTTAATTATTGCGGCTGTTTATTAATTTATGTAATTGCGCATTTAACGTAGCCAACGACGACAATCACTCCCTCTCCCACGCCCACTCCCACTCCTAATCCCAAAAAGCTAAAGAAGAAAGTTTCATTGTTCTAGCTTCAAAAACCACTATGCCCTTTCTCAGGCTCTAAAATATCTGTGTACCAAATTTCATTTCAATCAGTTCAGTAGTTTCGGAGTTAAAGCAGCAGATAGACAGAGTTACTTTCGCATTTATAATATTAGTATAGATTAAGTCTCATTTTTGTACTTTAAACGATTCACACACATAAATAAGGAAACTCCAAAATAAAGTTTACGTCGCGAAACCAGATTACTGAAGCATTTCCCTGGCAGGAAGAAATATTAGGTCAGCCGGTGGGCTAATAGCCTCCCTAATCCAATAAGCGTGCGTTCACTGTGTCACTCGTCAACGTATCTCTTGATTTACAACTTGAGTTACCATGTAGCTAATCCACCACGTTTTAAACCGTTCAAGAACAATTATTAAAGTTTACACGGCCTTCTATATATACGGTAAAGGCTTAATCTAGTTCATAAATATGTTTTTTGGAAAGCTCGTAAATAACGTCAAAAGCACGGAATCGAACTCTCATGTACATACCACTATTCCAACACATCTAAGCCATGGATCTTACTTTAATATACTTTCGATAGACTTGGTTATGTTGTAGCTTAATATGAAACAAAAAAAAATGGTTCGAATTTCGCTTAAATAAGCATTAATATGAATTTGGTGGTAGGTGTAATACCTGAGGCATATACCTAATCTAAACAAGATAGGCCGCTAAGCCACGATCCCGTGATTATTAGCAAAACATTGCTACTATTATTCGAATAAACAAAGTAAGTTAATTTTTTCTTTTCGGCATAGTGTAACTTAGTTTGTTTCCCGCAATTCCATTGAAATCTTTATACGAAGCTCGTTTAGTAGAGAGTGCAGTGGCACATAACATATACTGAAAATATTAGTCTATTTAAAAATTTACTATGAATTTTGTTTCGCTTTCAAAACCTTTCCAACTTTTATTCTAAGAAACTTAGCCTTCGCATACTGGTCTCTTGTAAGTAGGTATTTCCCCGGTAACTCAGCTAAAAATTCTTTCAACATTTCAAGGTAGGAACTAGGAACTACCTAACTTGGTCGTGCAATTTTAGATTTGTGGATATTTTATGAACGGATGTGAATTAATGGTACAAGTGTAGTAACTGTATACACAAAAAATCGATTATAGATTTTTAAAAATACAACTCAGACAGGACCTGAACTGGCATTGACCTCTGTGCTGTTCCGTGCTGTTGCTCTTACCAATTGAACGAGTCAGGTTGGTTACGTGTTGTTGCTCTACAGCTCAACAGCACGGAACGCTCCAAGCGCCGGTTCAAGTCCTGCCTGAGTCGTAAATTATTTTCGATTCATAATCGATTTTTAATTTTTATAGTGCCATCATATGCAATAACATGTGAAACATATTAAAGTTTTCAAGTGTAGCGTATATATTACCCTATAGTTTAAGTACGTAATGTCAACAATAGTTTTAAGTTCTGCGTGTAAAGACTGCTTTGTTTCTAAAAGCATGTATATATAATATATGAAATAAATGCTCGTTGTCTAATGGTAAGGTAGTATGGCTAACGTGTTCCTAATCAATTTATATTCTGAGACTTATCTTCTGAAATCTGGACATTAAATGGGTTCTACGAAAATTTCGTCCAGGCCACGAACCACCGGCCGCAGATTACAAAGCCGTAAAGTTTAAACTTTTCGGTTTCAGTCAGGACTTTCAAATATCAAAAGTCAAAACGGCCGGCAGCGCATCTTGTTGATATTTTATATCGTTCGGGTATATCCCTCTCATATCACCTCTCATCAAGTAAACCCTATACTTGTGTGTCCCTCTATCAAAAAAAAAAACAGGACGGACATATTTTTGCTCCGCCTGTGTACCAGAGGTTAGTGTGTTTGTTACTATTAAATTGGCTGTATTATTTCACGGCCGTATAAGGTTTTACGATATCCCTTCAGCACACGAACGGATAACGATGCTTTGTTTGTGGATTTTACTACATTTTAATCGAATATTTTATTGGAAAACAATATTTAAAACTAGGTACAATACCCGTTTCCAACAGCTTTATAGACTGAAGTGCTATTCTTTAAATAACAATATCTCTAATTATCTATACTAATATATGTATAAAGCTGAAGAGTTTGTTTGAACGCGCTAATCTCAGTAACAACTGGTTTGAATTGAAAAATTATTTTTAATATTTTTGTATTGGTTAGAACATTTATCGAGGAAGGCTATATAGGCTATAAAACATCGCCCTGTGACTAATATAAGCTAAGATAAAGCGAGATATATGAACCAATTGGGAAAATTATTAATCATTATGGGTTTCTGAGATGTACGCTGCAAAAACGGTTCAATCTACCCAAAAAATATGTATGTATGTATGTATGTTTTCCTCTTTATTTGATAAAAAATTCCGCGACGCTATATGTCTATCTCTTAAGACGAACTCGCAAGAACGACGGGAACCGAACGATGGGTTGCGAGCGACGGGACGCGACCGATGGCGTAGGTTAGGACAGTTTGCAAAAACAATTTTGCCCAAAATAACTATTCTACGCCGACGAAGTCGCTGACTCAGCTATTAATAATATAAATGTGTGGTTTTGTTTGGTGACAAGTGGTTTAAAGTGGAAAAATATTGGTTTCAAAATTGCAAAAATAGAAACTATGAATGAAATACTGTCTGTAGCTTCAAAAACCACGAATTACCATACAAACTTTCAACCCTTATTTGGCATTAAAACGTGTACTTTCTCAGGGTCTGAAATATCTGTGTACCAAATTTCATTTAAATCAGTTCAGTAGTTCCGGAGTTAAAGCCGAATAGACAGACAGAGTTACTTTCGCATTTATAATATTAGCATAGATTTCATTTGTATATAATACAAAACAGAAATCAATTGTCGCAAACTTCTCAAAATTGAGTCTACCAACACTGGACTTGTTTTGTCGTTTTCAACTTAGTCTTCATCTGAGTGGACCTCCCCTTAAATTCATTGTACAGTATCGACGTTTGTATTCCCTATACAACCGCAAGCTATCACCCCTAGGGAGAATACACTAGAGGCATTAAATCAGTGCATTTTCAGCTCGTTTTTAGCTTGAAAAGCGAGCTATTGGCAGGAGTGGAGTGCAGCGGGTGAATTAAAATCACGCGCTGACACGGAAACTTTGACACATCAAAAGCAAAGGAGTACCGTTGAGGAAGTATGTTAAATTTAAATTAATTTAAATTAAATATAGAATAAAACGTAAACAAATTATATTCGTATATAAAAATAAATAGGACGAAATTAATATTAGTAAAGTACTATGAAATGTACTATGAAAATATGTTTAATTATTTTTTACTTAACAAAAGACAACCTAAAAACTCATTGGTTGATTTCATAGTACAGAGTCAAACTGACATTGTTACTACAGATTATATATCAGTTAAACACTGTCTGTTGTTTACGAGTAGTACACATTTAACGTTTTAAACGGTTTAAAACGAGAAATATGTTTCATTTAAATATACATCACAATGATAACTATGAGTACACCGATAGCAAGTAGTCGCGTAGAGTACGTCTGTATGTTTGTTTAATTAACAATACAACACCCGGCTGTCGAAGGCCGTTTGTAAAACGTCTATTGAGTGTGTTATTGGTATGCTATTAATAACATCTCCCATGTGGACTATTTGATGCACGTGCGACAAGGGTCTGCGCTAAATATTCATTCTGAGTCGATTAATTGTTAACGTTACTTGTTTACGAACACAATATTAAGTATATTAGTTCTATATCAAAGAGATTTTTTCCTTTTCTTCACTAGCACCACTTACCTATAGTACTTTCGTTCTTGTTTTCCCTTCACATTTGGTTGGCTGGAAGAGATCGCTGTTTAGCGTTATGGTCGCTCTTTATTTATAACCTAGTTCATATTTTTTTATTCTTTTTGGTTTGTAAATAATAAAGTTATATAAATAAATAAATGTGTTAAATATTGTCTGTAGTTTACGCGAGTAGTATACACACAATTAACTAAAACGCTTTTAACGATTTAAAACGCGAAATATATTAGTTAAACTTGTTTACATTATATTTTAACCGATGTTTTTGATGGTTTACAACAGCCGCGGTCACGTTCGGACTAAAGATGGAGAATGTTCCTAATGTTAAAGTAAAAACTTCTATGCTAGCGCCACCTGCTCCGTCCTAGTATTAGAGAAAACTAGCTGGATCCTTACAGGAAGACGAACGGTGTCCTCCTGTTTCTCCGTATGCTCGTTTTTGGAACTATGTGTTTTTAATATCGCCCAGGTCCCAGGTGTTAGATATCTGGAAGCTGTCCTCTCTATTTCAGTGTTTCTTAAGTTATCATAAGTTTAATTAATACAATCCGTTTTTTAAACCGTTAAACGTATTTTATTTACATGTGTACTACTCGCCTAAACTACAGTAGCAATAAACGTACTTTTATCGTTTCATAATTTAATTTTCATGTTAGAACTATCTACTGAAGGGAAGTTATTTTTAATTTATGCATTATTTGATTAAAAACGTTTTAGTGCAAATTAAACGCGAGGAAAATATAATATTTTCCTGTCAAAGCGCGCCAGTGTTCTCATTAACTGCACAGAAGTCCCAAATTCTATTACACGCGTAATTAATTTAATTTACCCTTTTGATGATTAAAATTGAAAAATAACTTCGTTGCAGGGTAATTTTCAGCTTGGTATTTTGTTTCCGATTCCGAGAAAAACCCTAAAGCCTTTTGAGACCAGGGTATATTTTCGCTCAGTTGAATGCCACTTATAAGTAAAATAAATTCGGTTCACATAATGACTAATTAACGCAGCGTTATATTTTCATGTTTAATAACTTTATCTTCTTCACAAGGGTCCCGAAGGTAGAACGTAAATTGAGCGGGGAATTACCCTCAAAAACTTTTATAATTTTTTAAGTTCAACCCAAAAAAATATAAATATATTTTTAAATAGGATTTCGTTTATCTTTCCCAACTTAATTACAAGTATAGGTACTATTCCAGCTCTGTCTAGGAACGTAGCAATATTTTATTTTGTGAACGTGTTTCTTCGTGGTTTATAGAAATCTAGAATGAATTTTCGAGCGAAAATGTAGTATAAAATGTTTTGTTTAAAAATACTAAATTTAACGCCAGTGCGAAGAAATTTGATCGGGTATTTGGTATAATGGTAGCAATACATGGCTAATAATCGATCCCCACCGAGGCGGATTCTGTTTGGAAATCCGGAAATTGAGCAGGTGGTAGAAATATCGAAATTCCGTCCGGGTCACGAACCACGATCCACAGATACAACAGCCGTGAAGATTAATCGCGTTTCGGTTTCAGTCTGTGGATTTCCGAATATCCAAAGCCAAAATAGGACGACAAGGCATCTTGATTAGATGTTATATGGCTGGGTATTTCACCTTCCATCTAGTGAAGCCTAAGCTTGTCTGTCCTGCTCTATTTATTTAAATAAAACACTAACGGTTTAAAACGCGTGCCGTGCAGCAGCCGAAACGTCGGGCCGAAGTTAAAAATCATTTTCAAATAAGTTTAACTAATATATCGCGTTTTAAACCGTTAAAGTGTTTTATTTAAATGTGTACTACTCGCGTAAACTATAGACAGTATGTCCTGCTCTATATTAAAAAATGCATATAGAGCTCGATCCACGTATTTATATTTCAAAACGAGCCTTAACGTAGCTATGTCTAAAATTTGAAAGTAAAATCGATTACTTAGACTTCACGGCGTAATGACGTATGAGGACGTCAATTCGATTCTCGGTCAGCTGCACAGTGAACAGTGAAGATACTATTAAATCAAAATTAAGAACCAAGCCTTTAACTTGACAAGTGAGACTAACTATTCTCTATCTATAAAAAATAAAAGGAATAAATCTAGATACATGCAATCTAGTTACTGGTTCTATCTACTTATGGGCTCTGTGTCTTAATAAAGTCCTTTATCACTTCAAATGTTGCTTTTGTAGATCCCAAGAACAGCTTGGGGTCAGAATCTCGCCTGTTGAATGATAAAATCGAAGACTTGGAGGGTTCTAACAATGTGTCCTTTCTCGTTACAAGTTTCAACAGTACCTCATATAGAGACGAGAAATAACGAGGACAAAATGGCATTTACAAAGGACGTAGGGTTTGTAAAGAATCCCTTAAAATAAATAGCCAGGGCTTCTTTATTTTCAAGATTCGTTCCCAACCCTTTGTTATTACCTACTGTTTGAAATTAGGGTATTATCAAACTATTATTTTGGGAAACAGACGGTACTTGTCGTCGGTATCTTAGAATTCCAACTAAAACGTATTATTGCAGTTCTAACTATTATAACAAATTGTCATTCAACTGAACTCATTACACATTAACATACACAACAATAGTATAATAAATAAAAATGGAAATATGTACGAGTCAAGTAAAGAAGTTTCACTTGAAGTGAACTTTATTATGAAAATAAATAATATGCAAGTAAATGACTGAATAGTCTATAGTATTTTATATTGTAAACTAGCTGTGCTCGCGAGTTCGTCCGCGTGACATAGTTATTTTGGGCATCATATTATTTTTCTTTGGAAACAAACCTCTCAGCTTTATAAATTAAAGATGTTACCCACGTCGTCTGCGTCCCGTTGTTCTTGCGAGTCAATCTTAAAAGATAGACGTATACTGTCCTACTTTTTTTTCAGATCATTCAAAGAAGACTTATTCTTTCAAACATATTTTTCGGTTTCTTGACTTGAATGCACGGGAATAAATACCACAAAGATCAATAATTTTCCCGGTTTTTCCAAATTTAGCTAACGCCGCCCGATGTTTTACAGTCCTTCCTTGATAAATGCTCTAACCAACACTATTTTTTTTTTAAATCGTAAAGCAGTAGTTTAGGAGTTAGGCCCGTCCCAACAAACAAACAAAATCTTCAGCTTTATAATATTAGTAAAAACGAACATATAGTCATAGTAAATTTAATTATTATTTACTTAATAACTTAAATTTTAACTTTACTATTTTTTTAACTGCAGTCTGAAGAATGTCTGTCCTATGTTTATAGAAAGTGAATCTCGACAACGTTCATAGCCAAATTGTAATAAAAATCATAGAACAATTATTGTGTATCTGCCCACATAGCTCCACCGATAGTGTTAGTTATTATTATCCAAGGTCACGTGACTGATACGTTATCAGTAACGAATACTGACCTTACAGAGGTCATGACCTGTTCAATTTCGTTCTCTTTCACTAATTGTTCTCGTTACTTTTTATTGTTATTGTGTAGCAGGTGTTATTTAGAGAAGAACAAATTCCTTAATTAAAAGATACTAAAATTAAAACATACTTAACTTTAGCAAGTTGGTGACGTAAAGATTTCATGATATAGGATGACAGACAACATAAGGTTCTATATAATTTAAAGATCGAAAATAAATTGAAAAAATTTTCGACTCGGGCACGACTTGAACTGGCATCGTCAGCTTTCCGTGCTGTTGCTCTACCAATTGAGCTACCGAGTCCTACACCTCATCGTCGAATTTTTTCAACTTATTGATACATGCACCTCTCGCGCAATGTAATTTCAACCTTAACACTTGCGTATTAAGGTTCAATGTCTTATGCTTTGCAGCTTAAGAAATCATTGAAGATGAAATTACAAAGTTATAACGTTTGGTTCATCAAACATAAGTTCACTTGATGAAAAGTGATTTAACTCAGCCATGTAACATCTAAACAAGATGCGTTCTTGACATATATTTTGGCTATGGATATTAGTAAAGGAAATACTAAATACTGTCTGTAGTTTACGCGAGTAGTACACATTTACCAGAGACACTGTAAACGGTTTAAAAAACGAAATGTATAAGTACTTATTCACAAATTATCTTAACTACGGTCCTATGTTTCGGATGCTTTGCAGCAGTGCAACTCAGGGTCTAATTTAAAATGCATAATTTGATTTTGATTATAAATTTTTTATATACTTGCTTACTTAATGTGTTCGCCCTGCCCCATGGGGGAAACGGGATTTCATTTTTTTATCTTATGAAAATGAAATTAGTGTAGAGCAGTTAATTTTTTGCCTTTACGACTTTGTAGTAAAGAAATTGTCGCTCTTCAAGTACAATGTATGGAAACGTGACTCTCCTTAAAACGTTAAACATTTTTTTAATTAACTGTTTAATGAGTTTATATGTTTGTTAGTTCCTACTTAGACTAGTATCTAATGTGACCGCTGTGGCGTAATAATCTCTACCAATAAGTTTTAACTTACTTATTAACGATTAGCTGTGACAGCGACTTAGTCCGCGTAGAATAGTTATTTTGGGCATTCACATTTGATTTTGCAAATCTCCTCTTTATCCTTATAAATTTAAGTTGTCACCTATGACGTCGGTCGCGTCCCGTCGTTATTGCAAGTTGATCTTAATAGATGCTGATACAGTGTTACTTATATTTTTTTAGATCACTGACAGAGAAATCATTCTTTCCTATATATTTTTTGGGTATCTTAAACCGTTTTTGCAGGGTACGCATCGAAAACCCACAAAATGTATGCAATAATTTTCTCCTTTTTCCATTTCTCGCTGTTTCTTCGCTCCTATTAGTTTCAGCACGATGTTTCGTTCCCTTCCTTGATATATGGTCTAACTTACACAAAAATAATTATCATTTCGAACCAGTAGTTCATCAGATTAGCGCGTTGAAACAAACTCTCCTGCTTTATATATTAGTATAGATGACATTTCGCGTGTTGAACCTTTTAAGTTCTTTATTGAAATCAATTATCTTGACAGCAGATATGTCTCAAAAAGTATGCAAGAGGTTATCGACTATAATTAACTAATATCTAGTATAATGTTTATATTGAAACAGCCGTGTTCCACCTAAGCACATAATTACGCATTAATATTTATCGTTCTACGTAACCGAGTCACATGATTCCGACCGGTCGCATTTATTATTACTTACTCCACAAGTCTCGTGATTATTACGAAATTTTTGCATAAAGCCTTAAGCGTCGATGACCCCACTTACTGGTTTCTTCGACCTTTCCCCATGTGCGTAGGAGTGACAAATATATTGATAAACAACATCGGGAAGATTCATTATAATAATGCAAATATTAAAAACTGAGGTTTGACTAAAAAGAAAGAGAAATATTTAAATAATACTAAGTCACTAATTACTACATTCTAGCATATATCACGAGGTCCTAGGTTCATACCTGGATCGGGTGAAATTTAAGTAGCTATCTCAATTTTAAAAAATCTAGTACCAACCCCAGTTTAGAAGGTGCCATCTCCGGGAGTAATGATTCGGGTAGCACGATTTACAAAATCACTAAATCTTACTTTCTTTGCCCAGAAGTAGATACATGAATCTTAAATTACCCCGTAACATGCGATACCGCAGAAAAAAAGAAATAAAAATTTAGTTCCGATTTAACGGTTAATTAAAGGAAAGGAAGTTTTTCTTAATAATTGTACCCCCCTCGACCAAATGCATGAATCTCGTTCGTTCTATATCGTCGAATAATTGGTAGTAAATTTAGACTCTAGTTTCTAAGTGTTGTGATGATCATACCAGTGTGTAGGTACCAGGTTACCAACGTGAATAAATGATTATTGACTTTGTCGTTGACTCTTTTTAAAAATACCATCCTGTTTAAAATCGAAGATTATGATCGTACTCTAACGCAGTCAGTAAATCCTGAAACACATAACTTATCCATTACTGAAAGGTGAGCGCGAACAGCAAGGAATCCATTATTTACATTAAACTTCACTTCGCCGAATCAAAATACTCGATACTATGAAATCAGAGAGCACTCAATCTCCCTTCGGAATTTGCAAAAATATTTACTAAGACAAACACAAAACATTTTAATTTGTACAAACGTTTGCCTGTTTTCGTGGGCAATAGAAATCATTTTGGAATTTTTGATCTATTTATCCAAATTTTACGAGAGCAAAAAAAATGATGACTTACTTTTAACGATAAAATAATACATTTAAGAATAAAGACGTAAGCAATAATGGCGCGCGTTTGTGTGAGCCGCTTTTATTACACAGTTTGCTTTTATTTCCAGACATCTATATGTCATATATTAGATCAGACTTGCCCTGTTCGACTGAAAATTATATTGTTTTGATGAAATTTGAACCCACGACCACACGCTAACAATACGTTTAACAATTTAAACAGGGAGGCGAAATGGCGCAGCTAATAAAAAAGTGTAAATAAAATTTAAACCTAACAAATTATGCATGTATATTAGTACCTTTTTTTACATAACTGTGTATTTACCTTAAGATAAGGCAGAAAATATGTATATTGTACTTCCCTGCATGGCAAGGGGCGGACACATTTGTGTGTCTATTTCACTGATTTATATAAACTCATATCTCTATATTACGATAAAAATAAAGAAATACAAAATTAAAATATTTTGAGCATTTACTCTGTAAATAATTCTTGGGCATTTACATATAAAGCCACCAATTTTCGTTCAATCATCCCAGCTTTTGCCCTGACGCCATTTTGTATTCCCGTTATAATTAATGTTTCTTTATGTTTTAATTATTTTTACTTAGGACCTGTCATAACATTATAATACCATAACAGACAGATTGGATGTACGCGTATTTAATTAATTATAATTATGCTAAAATACGGAAACGTATTGTCTGTAGTTTACGCGAGTATTACACATTTAATTAAAGACTTTTCCCATGCTTAGCAGCAACCTGGGTCATGGGGAGACTTAAAATAGAGGCCGTATCTAAAGTCCGTAGAATCACGACGGACAGACAGACGAACATTTTTCATTTTCCTTTTCGACGAATCTAAATATTTTTTTTTATTTTAAAGAGAATAAAGAATATATTATTTTTATTCCGAATAAAAATAAGTTTTACTAGTATATTTCACTTTTACACCGTTAGAGTGTTTTATTTAAACATTACAACAAAACTTTATTTGCACAATTAAACTTGGGTAAAATAAATGAAAAATAAGTAAAACTTACCGTTTTAATCCGTTTAATTTTTCAATTTATTGAGGGTATTTACAATTATTTATTACTAACGAAATAGCACTTTTTATATTCA